GGGTAAAGAATATTCTGATTTCAAAAGCATAAGGTTGTGTGTGGACTTTTTTTGTCGTACACTTGGGTGTGTTATGCCATTGCTGTGTAATAATATATATATATAATAGTACATGTACAATGAAAGATTGCATAAAGCCATATACACCAGTATTTATTTCCATGAACAATATTAGCATTCGTTTTACAATTTCAGTCAAAACAAACAAACCACTCACTGCTCTATTTGCCTCAACTGTAGTCCACCATGTTCAGCTCTGTAAATATTCAATGCATTCTGCAGGGAGAACACATTCAGGCACACAGGCTCCAATCCAGGATGGTCCACCATACAGGTTACAGAGTCCTCAAGTTCCTCTATCCGTCTTGACACCTAGTGTGATAAACATATATTGAATGACATGTGAAAAATGTATTCTCTAAACAGACAACTTAGTGAAGCTATCAAAAATGTTACCTGTGGTATCTCCATGTAGCACACATTCTCCGGTTCAGAAGGCATCGTGGCGCAATTTGCACATGTACACCTGTAGAAAGAAGTCAATAACTGAGCTTTTAAAAACACATGAAACTACACACATTGCTGACAACTGAGGTGTTGTTGGAGTTATACTTTTTATCACCCTAAGTTATTGAACTTTCCAACGGTTGTTGCACGATGTTGGAAGAAAAGGGCTGTAAACTATTAATAAACGCAATGAGGCCATTGTATATATGCTGAAAATATGAATGTCTCCCTTATATGTATTGCTGTTTTTGCGTTACAAACTATAAGTTACAAACTGTACACATTGCATTCTTGTTAATTAGCCAACATATGAACGGAATAAGTAGCAAGCATCGTAACAGAGTAAAATAAATAGGGACAACAGCTTGTCAACTAACCATTCAGAAACGTCCTGCTGCAACCGAGATGTTTGCACCTCCACCAAAACCTCCGCTGCTTCAGGGTCAGTCTCTGGATCAAATTCATAATATGCTTGAACACATGCATTGCTCTGAGATGACATGTTTATTCCACACGTAATCACAGCAAGCATGGTAACGTGACTCTCGCCGGCGCATGCCCCGCTCTTCTGCAGGGGGGCGTGGTCAGCTGCTGCTCAGAATTTTCAAAGACAGGCTTGGAAAAGAGCGAAAATGAGCGAAACGAGGCATGGCTAAAAAATGATCCGTTTGGTATTTTGAAAAATAAAATGTATAAATATACCTTATATAGGTATGGTCATACACTATATCATTTAAATATAGCATGATAGGTCTCCTTTAAGTGCTGTTATGGATGATGCTGTGAAGATGATACATTTCATCCAATCTCGGCCATTGAATCACAGGCTGTTTGAAACTCTTTGTCATGAGAACGGCACAGAGCACGATCAGCTATTGCAGGGGTGGCCAACCAGTCAGAGGTTAAGAGCCACATTTGTTCTATGTTACTTCAAAGAGCCACAACAAACACACAGTCACTGATACCGCTTGTTTCAGTTTTTTGTTTACTGGAGACAAGATTTCAACCACGTCACTGATGCATTTTTGTGGCATTGGGATATATATTTTTTAAATCCTCTGGAGCAGAGAGAGGAGCTGTGGATTATTGATTAATGCATCAGTGTTTCTTAGGGTCAAAAACACTAAACTCACAACTTAAAATGAAAGCGTTTAGTTTATTTAATAAAAGAGCACATGTTCAATGTGAAAAGTGACAGTAGTTATAGATTATTTGCAATTTGGTGCTATATATATATATTTTTTTTTAATTATATATTTTTTTTAAACACCTTGAATTTCAGGGGGTGCGCGGGGCTCCGTTGGCGGGGCGCAGCGCCCCTCCAAGACAATGGTAGGGGAAACACTGGATAATGTTTAATCAACGATAGGTTTTCCCCCCCTCAAAAGGTGATTGTTTCACTGCATCGCAGGTATTATTGTGATTGGCTCTTGGGCCACATCAAAATTATACGCGCTGTCATCCTCTCATACTGACACCACACATACACCACATACATAACACGGGACAAAAGTAACGGAGCGATTTTATCCGAGCCCAAACAACTTTGACCGGCCAAATTACGTCAGAATTATCAGCATTCAATACTTAACAGACCTACTAAATATCAGGTTTAACTGTCAGGAGTAGTGTTGTCACGATACCAACATTTTGGTTTTGATACCAAGTCAAGAATTGCGATTCCGATTATTTTTCGATATTTTCTTTAAAAAAGGGAAACGGTCTTAAATGTAATTATTGTGCTTTATTTCACACCAGAACCATAACCATAACACACACTTTTAAACAATGAGAACAATAAATACAATAAATGACAAGAATTCGTATTAAATAACATTAATAAATGTCTTACAGACAGGCCTCGTGGTGTCCGTAGGCTTGCCCTCACTGTCAGAGATATAGCTAAAATACATCCAAATGTAGCTTCTGGCGTCTTTTTTGTCAACAAGCCGAGGCGCAGCGGCAGTTGCACTCCCACTTGCAGCCATGCTTCTCGTTTTCTCACATGCTCTGGCAGCTAGCGCGTGCACGAGAGAGGGGAGGCACTTAGAGCGTGCTTGAGAGGGGAGGGACTGCAGGCACGGCTGCAGTGCAGGGAGTGGAAGCAGAGCGCTGAACACACACGGCTCTTATTAAAACGGCGCTTTCTCACCGGAGTACTTTTCCCCGTTATTCTTAAAGTACCGATACTAATGAAACGGAGGAATCGTAACGTTTTTAACGGCAGGGTATCGCGGTACCTTTCAAGTATCGGTACACCGTGCAACACTAGTCAGGAGTCTACGGAGCCCCCTAGGGGACATGGAGAAGAAAAAAAAAAATTCTGAAAAAAAAATAATAATAATGTTTTGCGAGATATCGCAATACTTTTGCGAGATCTCGCAATACTTTTCATTCAGGTCAATGTACTTCCGGGTCAGTTCAGCGACACAGAAACCACAACAATGGAGCAGTTAATCGATTTTTACTTTGAGCTTGGCCTAAAATATAAAGACATAACATCAGTGCTTGGCAATAGGCACAGGTTTATCATAAGTGAAAGACACCTCAAGAGGATACTCAGAGCGAGGGGACATTCACGTCAACATGCATACTCTGAGCTTGCGGTCCTGGTGGATTTCATTCGCAACCAGTTACAGTACTCTGGGCAGCTTCATGGGTACCGCTGGATGTACGCAAAATGCAGAGTGCATGCACTGCGTGTGAGGAAGGAGGATGTGCGCTTGGTACTGAAGGAGCTGGATCCCGGAGGAGTGGCATTAAGGCAAGCAGGACGACTCAGACGAAGGCGTTACTTCTCCAAAGGGCCAAACTTCATCTGGCACCTGGATTCCTATGATAAACTGAAGCCATATGGCATTTGTATAAATGGATGTATCGATGGGTATTCAAGAAAAATGATCTGGCTTAATGCCTACACAACAAGTAGTGACCCAAAGTTGATTGGGGGATATTACATGGAAGCAGTGCAGCGTTTAGGGGGCTGCCCTAGACTGGTGAGGGGCGATCTTGGAACAGAAAATGGCTATGTTCGAGGCATTCAGCGTTTCCTCGTACCTACTCGCCCAGATGGCAACCATGAAAGCTACTTGGAGGGAGCCAGCACCGCCAATCAACGAATCGAATATTGGTGGGGTTTTCTTCGCAAAGAGTGCGCAGAGTTTTGGTTGTGCTTTTTTTGGAGACCTCAGAGACAACGGGCATTTTAATGGTGGATTTCTGGACAAAAGCCTCCTTCAATTTTGTTGCATGGGACTCATCCAGGTGAGTTAATACATTGTGTGTATGCGCTGTGCGTGTGAGTTCAGATGGAGAGAGGAGAGAAAAAGTAAGAGACAGAAAGAGAGGAGAGTGTGAAGGAGACAGAGAGGAGAGTGTGAAGGACACAGACAGAGGGCGGGGTTTGTGGTTATGTGTGAATGCCATAATGTTGTTCTCTATTTAAGTTGATGCATATGTACAGTTCTTACTAAATGTATTAATACATTATTTTTGACAGGATGAGTTGGATGACACTGCACAGGTTTGGAATGCGCACACCATCAGGCCGTCGAGAAACCTCAACGTCCCCAGCGGTCGGCCAAATGTGATGTATGCTGTGCCTGACCTTTACCGGACAAGAGACTACCTTTCCCCTGTTGAAGACGAACACGTTCAACTGTGCAAAAATGAATGTGTCTTTTGGCTGGCCATACCATGTGATCCAGATGTGTACGAACTATGCCACATCTTTATGGGCGAGTCCCATCGGACTCCACCAACAGACCCATATCAGGCTGTGAACTTGTATATGCACCTAAGAGAGGCCATCAGTGCATCTCTCTAAATCAGTACAAAATTCACTCACCTGCAGTGCGCCTCCCCCACTTACATTGCACATTATGTATAAGTCACTTCATATGCACACGATTTCTGTTTCTTAAAAAAATAGCATTGAGTTATAATTCGGTACCATGTTAAGTTGGCAGTAAATGAAAGTGATATGTTGGTAATATCATGTATATATCACGGCCAATTGTGCATATTAGGGCTTGTAATTAGAGGCTAGTCTTTTCAGGCCACATTTCACATTTTCAACATCGGCTTTTTGCAAACAGGATCTAACAGAACTATTTTCCACATTCAATTTCAAACATTGTTTTTCCGAGAGTTATCAAAAAGGACTGACTCTTTAACACCATAACATCAACAATTCGACCAGTGACGGACAACACCGTTTAGTTTTCTTAGTTGCAAAAAAAAACACACAATATTAATCTCAGCCTCTAAACTGGGTTAGGATCAAACTGATAAAAATAAAAACTGCAGTCATTCTCAAAGCGTATAAAAAAAAAAGGTAATATCCTTGTTAAAGCAGAAAATAGAATTGCAGACTGCTCATTACACGGTTCAGTGCATCAGTTGTTTCAATGACAAAACAAACAACAAAAATATCAAATCAAAATAATATTCCAAACTGTTACTATTAGGCCTGATAACGACTGCTCTCAAGTTCAAAGAATATCCATTTCAAAGAAGTTGCTGGACAGGATATTGTCAAATTCCGTGCGAAATTCAGGGAAAGAGCTGTAGGTACACGGTATTTCAAGGGTAGCTCCACAGGTATGAGCAACAGGCCTTCTGCTGAGCCCAGTTTCAGCATTAAAGCACACCCCAATTCTGTCAACACATATGACAGAAGAACCAGTGCAGAAACGCAGGATTTGTTCAGCTTTGGCTTGGTCAGCATTTTTCACATATCGTTGGAGATGGTTGAAAGTTGTCTGTTCTCTCTGAGACAACACCACGTTGGTTGTTTCAAACAGTTGGGACACTCTTCTGCCTGTGGCTTTCTTCTTCTCATACAGAGACAACACACTGTCCTTGTCTGGCAGTTGCAACTGTACAAGTGACATGGGTGTCAAGAAGCAATCAACGATATACTTTGGCTCTTGGAGAATGGCTTTATGAGCCATTGTTTCTATGGCAGGCTCCATGTTGTTCTTTGCAGGTAGGAAATGGGAACCCATCCTTGTGAAAAGGTCGAGCAAGTCCTCTTCATCACTCTCCTCCATTGTGCCCTGGAGAGCCTTCTCCACAGCTGATTTCTCAACAGGAGAGAGGTAGTTGAGAAACGATGTCATCAGGATGTCTACATCAACGGAGTGGACTCCATGAATGCAGGCTACAATGAAAGCCTTTGATAGCCTCACTGGCATGACACCATGGTCCAGTAATCCTTTCACCCAGATCCGTCCAACTGCTTGCCATTCAGCCTCACAGAAATCTGGCCTCAGCCTTGGAACTCGCTCTGCTTCCCCTTCACACGTTTCAAGAAATTGCTCCCAGAATGCAGTGTAAACCTCCCTTGATACTCCATTATCATCAATAGCTTTTTCATTTACAAAGTCCATCTTTAGAGTCAAATGTATTATGCTACTGTCCATAAATACAGCCAAAAGATCTTCAACAACCTTTGTCCTGTGAATTGATGCACGTTGCGTGCTCTCTGGATTTCCTGAGCCGTGAGCTGAGGTTGATGGGGATAGTTGGCTGCTCGAATTTAAAAGCAAATCCTGTAGTAGAAGAACGAAACATACAAACACACACAACAAGATTGGTCAATGAATGAAGCAGAGGCCAAAATGTCCTAATTGTTTAAATGTTCAGTATGAATCAAGGTCCATATAATATTGGATTCTATGTTTTTCCCATAATGCAACTCAAAAGCTATTTTTTACAAGACCTTTTTTCCAACTCCACCACACCTCCAGTTTGTAACACAGACTTTCGATTTGTTGTCTTCAATTCAAAGCCGAGGTAACACTGACAACTTCAGTATGACATCATCAAAGTTACTTATTTTATACCTGACCGAGCTCCTCCAGAGCTCTCAGGACAGTATACAAATGTTTTACAGGCCACAGTTATGTGAAATGTTACAAGAGCGGTAGTTTAAAGGATGTGTTCAGGGTTTCTTGCAGTGATGCATCTTACCTGTGATGTTTGCACTGTATCCTCATGTATGGACACATGTGCCGAAGGCAGGCCAAAATCAGAGGACAAGGGGAGTTGTAAATCCTGCATTGGTACTCCATTCATCTCCGCACTCTGAAGGATGAATTAAGTATGTTATTAATTGACAGCAGACACTTTGAAGTCTTAGACGTTATTGCAGACCGTAATTTACAAAAGTATTTCCGTAATAGTCTTCAACATCATCTTCTATTTAAAACCAGAAATACTCTGTAAAAATTACACTTGGAAAAAAGAAATGGAAAAAGACAAACCTTCAATTTCAGAGACAGAGTATAATAAAGTCACAAATCAGTGTTTATAAAAACTACTGCACAATCACAAGTCAAAAGGACTCTGTTGCTTTCCACTTCTACTGCAGCTTGCTAAATAACACCATTTATTTTAATACAAGTTGTGCATGACTTTGCTATACCACTATACACAACAAATGGTAGTTTGATATAGAAATTATCGTAAAAAAGGAGAATTGTGAAGTTGTGCATGCCACCATGTATGGCTTATGAGTGCAAAATTAAAATCTTTGTGGAATTCCACAGGTTTTCATCAGGTCTTGTTTGGTTTGTTGAAATGTGAAAGGTTCTAAAGCAACATAAACTATTAAATGTTAACCAATTTGCTATGGCAAAATGAAGCTCTAAATATACATGGGGTGAGCTAATATTTCATTAAGTACAGTAAGCGTTTCACAGCACTGTAGGTTATTTCATTCGTGTGTCCAAAGAAGAATCGGGGAACAGAATACATGACATAAAAATAAAAGGACATGGTACATTTTTTTCAAAGTAGGAATGCACATTTGAGTTTTTTTATTAATTGAATCGAATTTACTGACTATTGAAATCTAACAAAAACTACAGTATGTAATTGATTGAATTGAAGTAGCAATACATTTCTCAATCTTTTCTGTGTTTACTGGTTTGGTTTTAATACATATATTTGCATTTCTACCCCCTTACCCAAAAACGTTCCTAATCACATTACCTGAGTGACATCCTCATGTGTGACGTCATTCCATTTTATCACAACTATCTCATCACCACCTGCTCCCCAAAGATCATCTTCCGGATCCCATAAAAGTGTATCTGCCTCGTCTGTTGGGGTTGAATGGGAGCGATGTGATTGTCTTGGACCTTCTGCTGTCACAGTGTCAGAGGTTGATCTTTGTTTTTTGGATCTTGGTTGTATCTGGAAATGCAACAAAAAAACAACTTTTGTTGTCAGCAGTAATTTGTAATAATGGCAGGGAGAAAAACATGTTTCACAATTAATATCAAATGGTGTGCAAAAAAATACATACGACTACACATTAGCCTATTAAGCATAAAGGTACTGTACAATAACTTTGAGATATTCTTCAATCTTCCCTCAGAGTCTCTAAGATAAGTGATGTGTTTCAAAGCATTACAAATAAAAGTATGAAATTGCAAAAAAATATGCAACACAAAGAAATGAATGCGTCTGACCACACATGTCAACAACAAAGTCCTGGAAAAATTGAAACATACAGAGGTGAAGGTATGTTGGTAACGCCTTGGACAAAAGTGTGTGCTAAATAGGCCTACCATAACTATAGCTATGTAGAAAGTTGCTGACAAACTGTGGTGACTGATGGCACACAATGGAACCTTTCTGTTTTATGAAATCCATGTACATCATTTTTTTATTTAGTTATTACCTGAAGTTTAATATTCAAGCACTATCTCTTTCCATCTGTCCCTGTCATTAAAGTTACTTTATATTTCCTACTGCCACAAACCTGATCGCTATTGTCGCTGTCAGATGAATATCCACGCTCCGGCAGATCTGTAATCAATTCATCTGCATCAACAGATCCATGTGCGTCTGCTCCCTCAGTGATGTCAACAGATGAATCTACAGATAAGGAATCTTCACTAACTGTTTCTACCTCAGATGGGGATTGATCTGTTGGGTGGGCTTCTTCTTTTGTGGATATGTAAAATCTAAGCAGCTTCAGTTTGGTTTGTTCATAAAGTCTGCCAACAGTGTCATCTGAAGGGATCTGGTTTCTTTTAAAATCACAGACTTCAAAGGTAAAGTCTTCAACTCGCCCTTTTGTTGAGTGGCCATTTGGGAAGAATAGCTTCTTTCCCATTTCCAAAATCTGAGCAACAGTTGTTGTTTTTTCCACCGATGCATGTCTTGTTCCCCCGCCATTGCAGGTCCTCACTTGTTGGTATTCCTTATTGTGAAAATGAAGCCATCCTATTTCAATCTTCCTGGTAGTCTTTTCTGCTGCATTATTTATTTGTCTTGACATCCCTTCACCTTCTTTTTGAAACACACCTGATGCACCACACAATGCTCCTTTTGTTTTTGATTTACTTTTCCGTGCTCCTATTTTATCTCTTAATGTCTGTAGAAGAGTCTCTTTATCTGTGCTGCACTTTGTTTGTTGACAGAAGGAGAGGACAGCTACTCGGTCACCGTATGAAGTGATATACTTTGCCATTTGTTCATCATTCATGATGGTTAGCACTGCCTTGTCAACCTGCAAAAATAAAATAGCTAATACATTACCAAAAACCATTCTTATGTGTACCACAAATAACGCATTTTTTGCTAGGTAGCAAGCTAGTTACTACACAGTACTAACGTCACCCTACCTAACACTTAACTTGTAAACAAACGGAGCTTATCAAATTCAGAAGTCAGCATTAAACTTTTTACAGAAGGATTTTTTAAAGCTGCACGGTACATGATGAGAAAAACACACAGTTTACTGTGTCACTCACGTTCGTATTAAAACTGCCATGCTACCTCCATATTACTTATAAAGTGTTTGACTTTTCCAGGCTCTGTGTTGTTATGGTAACTTATTCCGTGAATTGACTGAATGTTCTACCCACCTTGTCACTTTGCATTTTCATGATGTCCTCTTGTGGGACCTCTCTCGAACGAAGAAACCTTTCCAAATCCTCCTCCATGACTCTTTCATCTGTTACAAGCTTCCCCAGAGTACTGTAGGTTGCCGAACTGAACCGGCCGGAAGTACATTGCGCTAAACGAACATTTTAGCGGGATCTCGCAAAGGGATTTTGCGAGATCTCGCAAAAGTATTGCGAGATCTCGCAAAGGTTTTGCGATATCTCGCAAAAGTATTGCGAGATCTCGCAAAGGTTTTGCGATATCTCGCAAAAGTATTGCGAGATCTCGCAAAGGTTTTGCGTTATCTCGCAAAACATATATATATTTTTTTTTCAGAATTTTTTTTTTTTTCTTCTCCATGTCCCCTAGGGGGCTCCGTAGGAGTCAGTGTCTCTCCCCCAAACTCACACATATAAAATTCGATATGAACTGAAGAGCCGCATGAAACTAGGCAAAGAGCCGCATGCGGCTCGAGAGCCGCGGGTTGGCCACCCCTGAGCTATTGCTTCACACAGACGTGCGCTGGCTGTCTCGTGGGAAAACGCTACTGAGACTTTATGAACCTTGCAATGAAGTTTTTGTGTTCTTGACGGAGCATCTGCATCCTCTTGCTGTGCAGCTTGAGGATGACAAGTGGGTGTCGCGCCTGGCATATCATATATATAGCAAAGATAAGTTGATTATTTTGATTTCATATGTATTTATTTGATTATATTATTTATTTTCAAGGCAACATATTTATTTTTATTGAGTGATTTAAGTTAAAATTAAGAAAATGCCTGAGAATTAGATGTTCAAATTAAGGAGATGAAATAAAGTTATTTTCATTCAATAATCAGTTACGTTCTACTTGTGAAGGATCATCAGCACGTATGAGTGAGGGGGTACTCATGGTATGACAAAAGGCTCAGGGGGTACACACAGGGCCGGCCCTTCCCACTGGTGAACTAGGCGGTCGCCTAGGGCGCCAGATCTGGAGGGGCGCTGCGCTGGGAGAAAAAAAAAAATTAATAAAAAAGTTTTATTCTCCCTAATTGTATGCCCTTGATGTAATACGTTTACATTAATAATTGAATAAAGTAAACACCCTTTGCACCCCGGGCCGGCGGCAACATTTAGCATTTGCCCTGTACGATGGGCGCTGTCCAAGCCTTCAGGGGCAACGGGAAGGAAACGGAAAAAAGAACAGGAGGAATCGAAAGTCAAAGACAGAGGTACGTCGGCTTGTGCAAAAAAGAAAAAAGTCAGTATGTACTGTACCGTTAGACATTTGATTTTAAGCTAGCTAGCTAGCTAAGGAGGTAGCCTGCCCATGATACAGCTTTGATGCCATGCTAGCCGCGAGCCTCTGATACAGAATGATAAATACAAATGATTTAAAGTTTTTATTTATGTGTTATTATTCTTATATAATCTTTTTGTAAATAATATACTACTTTTCTATTGTGATAGCTGTAAATTGATCCTCCAATAGTGTTTAATTTGTCAGATAGTTTATTTTCACGGTCAACTTGTGTGAAAATATATATATATATATATTTATTTTTCTGTTTATTTTCTGCTCTTTTTAATGTCTAATCATTGTGCAATGCTTTGTTTTATATGCTTCTGTAACGAAATAATGTGAATGTTAGCCAGAAGAAAGCTATCTGGATAACTGCTCTTTTGTATAAAGTGAGGCTGACCAGCCAATATGGGCATGTGTTATTATTTACATTACATGTCATTTGTTAGACGCTTTTATCCAAAGCGACTTACATACATTCAGTACTGTGGACAATCCCCACAGGAGCAATTTGGGGTGAAGGGTCTTGCCCAGGGACACAACGACATGCTGACTGCAGTGGGACTCGAACTTGCTACCCCCTGATTCAAAGTCCAGACCTAACTTTTATATAGGCTAGTTGTGAACTTGCATACAGCTGAGGCAGATTGCAGCAGTTATTTTTGCCTGACTGTATATACATGTTTTTGCTTGTAATGTGCTAATATCTACCCTATAATTTTCCAGCTGCACTTGAGAAATACCTCAAAAAGCCCCCAGTTGCTGGACAAGGAACATCTGAACTCCCATGTACATCACACTCTGAAGAATGTAAGTTTTGCCAAACATTTATGGTCTCTGTGTAATCGTTAATACACTACTTTTTGTCATTATTATTATTGTTATTATTATGATAAATAATGAAAACTGAAGCATGAATAACTTCTTTGCATGTTTGGATTGCCTGCCTGCAGGTGAAGGAATAACGAGCACAGTATGTGAGTCCACCATTGCAGCCCCCTCAGATCCTGCTGACTGCCCAGGCCCATCTGAGTCCACCATTGCAGTCCCCTCAGATCCTGCTGACTGCCCAGGCCCATCTGAGTCCAACATTGGCAGGTGTTTTTGTAGTGTATTGGTCTTTTGTAGAGATTTTTCATTTATTCTTTATATATTCTATTGTGTATTGCTTGGAGGGGGGGGGGGGGGGGGGGGGGGGGCACCAAATCATAATCTCGCCTAGGGCACCAAAATGTCTAGGGCCGGCCCTGGGTACACAAGACAAAAAAGGTTGGGAACCACTGCTTTAGGGAATCCGACTGGACTTTCACTATCCAACATGTTTATGATGCGCCAGCGGAGGTCATAAATGTGCGTCTGCTGCTGTGGGGAAACTATGGAAACTACAGTTTTCTATACAGCGGACTACAACATGGATGTTTAATAATAATAATTCCTTACATTTATTATAGCGCTTTTTCAATGACTCAAAGCGCTTTACATATACACACATTACACATATATCATACGTGTAATGGTCAGATACTGTGGACAATACCCACAGGAGCAAGTTCAGGTGAAGTGTCTTGCCCAAGGACACACCGGCTTTACAGACGCAGCAGCGGCGGGTTTCACCCCCTGATGATCATTGCACAGCGCACTGCGCCACACCATCTTCACGCCTCGAGGTCATCGAGGCACTTTTACAAGTACACATTGGTATTATACATGTGCTGTGGACAATACCCACAGGAGCAAATCCGGGTGAAGTGTCTTGCCCAAGGACACAACGGCCTGACGCAGTGGCGGCAGGAGCGGGTTTCAAACTGGAGTTCCCCAGCACTCCTCCTTGATCTGATGATCGGATGCACAGACCACTGCGCCACCCGTCCCTAATAAGAACGAGGGACTACTGTAAACTCATCTAGAGACTCTGCACCGTGCTCTGATGCTGTTGCTTTATGCTTTATGAACGTGGACAACAGAGAAACATATTCTTCATGACCAAAGTTGGAATTGAAATAAAAAAGGAAAGTGAAACTTATGCTCGTCACCCTCTCCCTCCGGTCCACATTAATACAAATGATCCCAATACGAATGATTGTATGAACTATGAAAATATCTTAAAATCAATACAGATGTATTTATTATAAACGTTAGTCCTTAACATCTATCACTGTGTAAATCACCATTCAAACATATTTTAAAAGTTGAACAAACCCCACACAGTTCAGTGAAATGTTGATCATTTCAGTAAAAACTAACGTTCATATTTCTCTTTTTGATTATAATACTGATGAACTTTCAAAACAAAGCACTTTGGCAAGTTACCACATACGTTTTAAAATGCTTAATAAGCACCGTAACTTTCATGATATAATTTCTCGGTCATTTCCGTGAACGGCCAAATGCTGCGGCCGCAAGGCATTGTGGGGCAGCATTTTCTCCTCTCCTTTCGTCAAGGGAGGTCCAGTGGTTCCTAAGCTAAAGGAGGTTATAAAGGAAGTTTGAAACCTCCTTTCCTATCATCTAGAGAATTTTAACGGCACTTATCATGGCTGCCACTGAGGGACTTCCGGGTCATTTCACTCCGTTAGGAAGGTTCCTAAGCTAAATGGACTATTCGACTTCAGCCTCGGAGTCGGCTTCTTCTTCTTCTCTCGGTTTTTTGGCGGATTGCAAACAACTTTAAGGTGCATACCGCCACCTCCGGTGTCGGCTTGACTCGGTTTGCATTTATAAAGAATGCACAAATGTGTTTAATCGTTAATGTCAGATATGTACTAAGCAAATACATCTGTTCCTGCTCAAGATTAGATTCAACTTTATTGTTATTGCACAGATTACAGGTACTGAGACAATGAAATGCAGTTTAGCTTCTAACCAGGTGCAACAAGCAGTGAAGTGAAAAGTAATGTACACCATCTACAGAATAAAATATAGAATGAATTGAATGATGAATAAACAGTGAGGTGTATGAATCAGAGTCCTGCATCGGGTCGGGTATCAATAACACTTCCTCAAGAGCGAAATCCAACGTCTGGGAGGCTTTTGGTATCATCCTAGATGGAGAAAATAATCAACATCCCACGCTTTTTGAGACAAATATGCAACTGCGTGTGTTAATAATTGCACGTTTTCACTGCTCATAGGCTATGCGGGTTCGGGTCGGGTTGCGGATCTTGTGCCGACGGGTCGGGTCGGGTTGCGGAACTAATTGGCAATATGTGCGGGTAGCGGGGCGGGTTCGGTATTGCACATTCCGGGTGCGGGGCGGGAGCGGGTCTTGAAAATCAGACCCGTGCAGGACTCTGGTATGAATACACTAGATATACACAGCAGCCTGTGAGCAGTATTAACAGTGTGTATGAATATGCTAAGATATATAAAGTATGAAAACGGTAAGCAGTGCAAGTATAGTATAAAATATATAGATATTCATTTCATGATGATAAACATTGTAGAACAATGATGAAAAATGTGAATGGAAGTGGCGACGTAAAACTGACACAAAACAACAACACACTTTTGCCGAGCCAATTGGAGAGTTTCATCAGCAGCACGGGGTAAAAACCACCAATGAGCGCTCAGCTCGAGATACCAGCGAGTCGTTTCCCATCAAGCATTTCGATTCCGCAGCCCGTGGAGAGGAACTGCGCCGCCTCGCCTCGCTCTCAAGTCTGCGGGCGTCTTTGTCCCGCGAGATTTCAACGTCTCATGTAGACGTCTCATGTCATGCCTCCAGAGCAAGTCCAGACAGTTATTTTGTCCAGAGCAAGTCGGACAAAATGACTAACCATCATGCAACGCACTAGCAAGACATTGATCGCAATTGCGAAGGTCTGCGTAGGTCTCGCTTGTCTCAAACAAGCCTATATATAAACACTGGACTAGATGGCTCAAGGGGGAGTTGCCAGCGTAGCTCACCGGCGGCCATCTTGCCACAGTCAACAACTACTGCTACAGCTGTTA